TATATATATATATATATATATATATATATATATATATATATATATATATATATATATATATATATATATAATCACATATCCCTTTCCATCTCTTTACATAAGGATTGTTTTACGGAGGAAACAAAAACATTGTACAATAATATTTATTTTTATATAATATTATAAAATTATTAAATAATATGTATTGTCTTATAGCATATAAATATTATAATTAGAATGATCGATTCACAAAAATAAATAAGTGGTTGAAGACATTTCAGATATTAGAAATAAAAAAATTGTCAAGAAATTTTAAAATGAAGGATGCATTTCAGAAAAAAAAAGGACATATATATATATATTACATATAAATTTTATTAAAAACAAAACATGTGAAACACGTGGGTAGCCTTTCTCCATTTTGTTGACACACTTCTGTGGGCCAGCCGATTTTGGGACCTTTGCGCGATATTAAATTGTATCCGGACATGGATTCAGATCTGACGCGGCGTCGTGAAATGTGGCAGCACGTGATTGCATTGATTGTCGTGCAGCTATAGTGGGTTGAATGGCTTTTGTAAGAGATTCGCTGTATCAGTTGTCTTAGTATAATGCCTATGGAGGAGTGCAAACAATCGATTCATCAGTCTGATCTAAATAATTAATTTGCATCGAATCTCTTACATCTAAATAATTCCCCAGTGAGAGTAAGATGAATAAGACCAAATCCAGTGAGGGTAAGAATGGATTCAACTAGCGACAATGGATGTACCAAGGTAACGGTGATGAAATAGGATAAAGACTACAATATGACCACGATGAGGGCGATGAAATAAGATAAAGACGACGATAGATCCAAGACAAAGATTAAATGAACTTTTTATCAAAGAAGAAACGCCCTACCAAAATTTTTACAAGTGACTCAATGGCAACTTCTTGAAAGTACAAATTATTTGACAAAAAATGACAATTATTTTTTTTGCCGAAAGAATAGTTCAGGTATTGTCCACCAGCACAGAGAAAATCTTCAAAAAGGTCGACCAGTCACCATGCCGGAGGATGACAGTAAGACCAAAAGTAGATGACAGAAAGACCATCAAAGAGTCCGAACTGTGTCTTCTACTTCTCTTTAGCACTTGCCTAACTGTCCATCATAAAAGTGCAAAAATAAATATAAAACTAATATAATTTACACATTTTTATCAACAAACATAAAAAAAGAACGATCGAGATGAATAATGCATTTGAGAACAAGAAATCATATTTGGTTGCTCAAATTCCGACGAGGATAGGTAAATTTAACATTAAAGTTTTTGATTTTGCACCACAATGACAGCTATATGCGTATGCATCAACATAACGAGCGACACTTAAAATAACAATTAATAAAATTACTTTATATAATATTTTAAATTATAATTAAACCTAGCGTTAATATAACTTTTACAAAACAGATATAAATTAGATAATAATAGTACATTTAGTATATTAAAAACATATTTAGCAAAACTGCTGTAAATATAAATATATAATAAATACACATTTAGTATAATAAATATATATTTAACAAAACTCATGTAACTATATATTTAGTATAGTGCAACATATTGTGAGCCTTGTTCGAGGTCCACAATTCAGATTATCCTAAAAATATTTTAATTATTAATGAATTTTCTATATTTTTAAATTTAAATAATTAAATAAATTTAGAAAAAAATTATGTATAAATAATCTACCAATACCGCTAGGAACAAACTAACTGATAATCTACCACACCGCACAACATGAAATAAAAAAAAAAAAGAATTATCATAAAATCGCACGTAAAACTAGCGTCGTGCGTTTGTGAGTTACATCACGCTTATCTGAGCTGTAAATAACACCACCAATACTCCGTAACGTACGTTACTACAATAATATAATTTAAAAGAGTCTTTAAAGTGTACTAAATTTCCAATATTCTCATAATTTGAGTTTACACAACTTTTTTGTGACGAGGTTAAACATAGAACCGTATACTCAGTTATGTTAATAAAAGGAGCACTTTTAAGAAGAAAACAGGGGATAAGCGAAAGTGAACAAGCTGCGGAAAAATACTACAAGGACAGAAAGATGACAAATAACGATACTTAAACAAGAAAAAGCAATGGCACCAAAAGTAGAAGCTGTCACAAGGGGCGGAACAGAATCCGCAAGCAGGGCAAGAAAGTGAATATCTTGATTTTACAAAAACAAATACATTCACTTATTTAGAAGCGGACAATGAACTCTGAAATAGCTACAGGGTTTATAATTTAAAGGATTATTTCCTAGACTACACAATTTAGTCTTATAGGGGGACATGTCGATCATATTGAGTAATATTAGAAAGGAAAGTGACAGTGAAGAACATTACCGCTTGATATAAACGCTACATTATACAGCGAGGCCGACGTCAGCGAAACAAAGTGGAGACGGCAGGAAGAGCCACAACAGAATTAATATGGCCGGCTGTTCTTTCATCCGTCGCCAGGTATCACAAGACACTATGAAGACGGCTTTGAAATCGTAGAGCAGACAAGAACGGATCTTGGTGGATTCGAACCACCCCTTTCTCACGCCATTTTAAATACAAATGACCGAGCGCTCGACCAGTATTGAGCTTAAGATCCCATTTCAGCTGACATTAAAGGTTACTAATATTTGACAGTTCAAAATAGCAATGGAGAACGAACCAATAATTAATCTAGTAAATGGTACGGTTCTATAAAGCACTTTAACACATCCATCTTAGCGATACCACAACTATCATTGCCCACAAACCACCTCGATAAGAATTGCTCGAGCAATTCTACGGTCATAAAGATCAGTGCCACACATGACAACATAGTAATACGTAAATCAACAAGCAAAATTAAAATTAACTTCAGAAGAAAAAAATTCTTGTAAATACATGGGTTATCACAAATAAATTACCATAACGAATCTAATTTGAAGGATGTTATTAGGAAGCATTATTGGACTAAAATTTAACAACAACAGTTTAACATCAGGCATCAACGACTAACTATAAAAACGGAATAATGATCACGTCTAGACTAGACGCAATTGAATTGAATTCAAGCAAAACGCCAAACTATCTTTAGCAAAACTTTTAATTTTTTTAACAGATGATTGAACATATGAAAGTAAATTTTCAAATACTAATACAAACCAGGGTTTAAAACATATCTAATGACTAACGACCGTATATGTTGTTTCTTCAAGAAAATTTGACGAGAAAACATACAAGACAGATCTCGTCGGCATTGATTACTTGAACATACATACGACATCAAAGAAGAGCTCTTGCCAAATAGCGACGCAGCTTTCAATAAAAACTAGGTCACCTTTCTCTAGAAGCAAGAACTGACGTAATGGACAAACACATCAACAAAATACACCATCTCACTAAGTACCTTAGAAAGCATACAGGTGGAAGTGAAGACATGAAAACCAAATAAAGCTACATGAGATCTCAACTACAGTAAAAGTCCTAAGAGCATACATCCACAATAGAGTCCCGCTATACAACAAGGAACATGTTCGAAAAAATTAACAAGTAACGAAAAGAGAACTAGAATCATCGGAAATTTAAACAACGAATAATCTTACACAAAAGATCAACAGAGAACGAATAGATTTTGCAAAAATAATCCACTATAAAGTGAATGGCCATGTTCTAAATATGTAGCATCACATAAATCAAAATAGCAGTTTTTTGACACAACTTGTAAGGCGACAACATGAACAATATGTGGAATCAGTACCTTGGAAATCGGAATACATAACTGCGGCGTGCATCTTGGCGTAAAATTGTAAGTTGATTCCTAGGGATTTGCAGACTTTCCTTTCTGAAGGACTCAGTATAGCAGGTACGAAATAGATGATTGAGCTATAAAATTCGTTGCTCGAAGATCATTATTCTCTGATGGACTCAGATTTACAGTGGTGAAATCGCCTATTGAGATGTAGAACTCGTGGTATGTCATGATTGCAGATAGAACATTCACATGGGGATAGTGCAGATGGACTGTGGTGGCAAGGAACAACACAAACAAGAAGAAAACAACACAGAGGGGAACCCAGGGTCTAAAATTCACCCCATGCGATCCCCAAACACACAGAAAAATGATTTTTATTATGTGTCTATGACCTGCCATGCGAGCGCACCCAACATGGCAAAGGTCGTGTCGACAAACCCTAGATGCATCACCAAACATGATCAGTAAATTACCTTACCCTCCATGGAGATACCCACCATTCCTCGCCCATATGTTGGGAAAGAACCCGATAACCATATCTCTAGTTCCAAATACTTAAACTAAGAGACATAATGAGATCAACTCAGCAACAGGCGAACAACCAGATCTTCTTCGCATAGCGAGAAATAGCGAGACGAACAACCAGATCTGCAACGCGATTTGATATAATACCGCTAAACAAAGTTTGATCCATGAACTCCATGGCTATGCCTGGGTAATCATCCAAGGATCCGTCCTATGTCCGAAATCCTGTAGCGATAAGATGAGATACACATGCTCTACAACCATAAATCCATCTACAAACTCATTAGGTTCCGACAGAAGACACATTCAACATGCCCACTCCATAAATTAGCAATAAACAGGCGAAACACACTTTTAAACGAAAATAGAAGAAGAACGGAACCAAACTCACCGGTTTCCACAACAAGATACAGATCGACATCGAGTCCACTGATCCTGATGACCATGTTTAGCGGGATCCGATGATTCCCCGACGACCGCCATCTAACGAGAAGAAGCGGCTGCGGATGAACCCTAGGGTTTGATGAATCCAGGAGGAGGGCATTTATTGAGGGGGGAGACGAGACGGACGGATGGATCGAAACGGTGCGTCAACAACGGCAGCCATGCAACCGCGTGGCATGGAATTATTGGTCGTGCCAGCGATGCGCACCGACGCATCCGCTTACCCAATCGTTCGCTCGTCCTTATCCCGTGATGACGTCATTGCTTACGCCCACTGATTCGTAGGATTGACTGTAAGACCATTCGTGGGACACTTGAATGCACCAATCAACAACGTTACCTCAGTGGAATGTTGAAATCGAACGGTTCGGATTGGCGTGATTCAGTGAACAATCTTCTGAGTTATACATTGAATCCGCAGGGTTATCGGGCTTCCATCCAATCAAACGGTGGAGACATGGTAGAGGGCTGGGGAGGGGAGGTGAGGCAGTGATGACGGAAGCATGTTAGAGGGCAAGATGGAAGATAAGTCCAACGGTGTAAAAAGATAAAATAATTTTTTCACAGTACAATGAATTCCCTGCCAAAATTTATAAAATATAGATTTTTTTTTCATAAATTTATCAGTTTTTTATTTATAAAAAAAATAATTTTAAATTAAAAATTATTCTTCACATATATCTCTTATTTTTATTTTTTGTTTCGCTAGCCGATGTGGTCAAACCATTTATGAAACTATGACATATAGATGAGATCCTTTAAGAGTTCATGTCAACGTGCAAACTCATCATTCTTAGGATGATGATAAAATAAAGTTGATATTTAAGGATTTAAGATCAATGAGAATAATATAATTGTTGGAAGGATGAGAAGAACAATAATAAGAGAACAATTGGTGTAAAAAATTGAAGGGGTGACGAGGGTAACAATGAGGGAGTAATAATAAAATTGAATCCCTATATATAGGGGTCTTATGAAAGGTGACATCCCTTAGAGGAGTGAGGTGGCAACCTTCGTGATAAAAATTATGGATAATGTTTTTTAAAATTAAAATAAATAATACATATTTTTTTTAAAAAAAATTGCTTTGTTATTTTTTTATTCAGTTAAAAAAACCATAAATCATTCAAACGTGTCACCACGTAATAATGAAAGAAATAAACAGCCAGCATTCTCTTTAAGTCCGAGCCAAAGACGTAAATACTGCAAACAGTGAGCCAAAAATGGCAGGCCCCATTACTGGCACAAGCAGCCCGGGCGGACAGCACGGTGGCCCGCTGGGTGCGGAATAGCGCAGCAGCACGCCCGGCGCCGGCAGCGGGAGGCACACCCACCCCTTTTGTTCTGAGGCGGGCCTGCGATCCCTGATACCAACAGTTATGGCGGTGCTGTGGTCGTCCGCTTGCCCTCCTCCTCCTCCTCCTTTCCCTCTGTCCCACCCACCCATTCTTTCCTTTCCGTCTGCCAAACACCTATCTCCTTCCCCTCTTCCTCTTTTGCTTTAACTCGTTGGAGGAGGCAGGGCCGACGCAGGTCCACAGTTGGACGACAGATTTGATCGACTGTTTGCGGGGGCTGAGCAGGATGCGTTATGGGACAGCCCACATGCCCTCTGCCGCTTGGATCAGTTCCCTGTGCGTGGGTGACTGCCTGTTCGCCCTCTAGCCGTACAGAGACGATGGTTTTGGCAGCCACTCTCTGGTCCTGTAGCTCCATGGAACACAAGTATGACCACGCACCGCCCCCGTGTCGAGAAAAGCCGTCTGGATATGAGAGTATGACCAATGGTTGAACAGTCTTGCCCCCAAAATGATCCAACTCAGGCCCCATTCAATCGAAAGAAGCTGCTGGCTCGGGCTGCACACCTTCGAGGGATATAGTACATGCGCTACAGTGGCTCCTCATCTTCTTCACTTGTTCTAGTTTCCGATCGCCCCTTGCAAAATACACCATAAAAAAAAGGGTGCCATTTGCGTATTTGGAGTGACATGTTTTAGACCAAGCAAGAATGAGAGGGCCAAACGATATGAACAGAATAGGCATATTTGCATTGTACCTTTCTTCTGTATTCGACAGATAAAGATGAATCATGCAGCTCTGGTCATCCACTGTAAAAGCAAGGTTTGGATCATGGGCTCATATTCTTATCCCCTTCAATCCTCCTCTCCCCACCTTTCGAACAACTCATGTACTAAAAGCAACGCAGTTCCTACTGCTTTTGAATAGATCGGCGCAGTCTTTTTCCTGCTCAATCTTATGTAATATCACATCAGCAACTCCACAGGTACCCTCCCTCCGCTTTGATCAGCTCAAATTACAGGCAATTCAATCGAGTCACTGAAGTGTTCCAATCCTAATCTTTACATATTAGTACGGCACCAACCAAACAAATTAGTCCCATTAACAGTCGTATGACGAAACAAACACCCACACATTCGACTAAAACAGTGGAGGGAAGGAGGCAAATAGATTCCTAATCGAAAGAGGTCAGAGTTTTGGTTGATGATTACCGCCACGAGGAAACCGTGAGGAGGGGGCGGTCACCCCAAGCTAGCGAGAGGAAGACCGGGGCGGAATCCGAGAGGGTGTATTTGGAGCTGTAGTTGTAATTCCAGAGTAGAAGCTTGGCTTGGCTCACCGCGTAGTTGCTGAGCGGCACGGTTTCGAAGCCGCACTGCTCCATCACCGCCCTCCATTCCGCGTTGGCCTCCATCCTCTCCCGTCGGATTTGCTCGTCGCCCGGACCCACCACGCCCAGGATCCGACGCCCGAACAGGAGCCGCTCCACCCGGGCCCGCTCGGCCGAGTCGCGCTGCATCGCCGGGTCGAGCGAGTCGAACACGGCCGCGTAGTAGGCCAGCGCCGTGCGGAAGCGCTCCAGGAAGGCCGCCCGGTTGAGGCTCGCCTCGTACTCGCCCAGCGTCACCACGCGGGGGCCGAGCGACTTGGCCACCCGGAGGACGCGCTCCACCGGCTCGGGCGAGTCGCCGAGGAGGTGGCAGAGCTGGAGCATGAAGTTGACCGCCAACGTCTCCTCCGGGTCGACCCGGAAGGTGGACGCGGAGAGCTCCGAGATGGGGGTGAGGATAGGATCGAACTCGAAGTCCAGGTCGAGGAGCGCAGCGAAGTCGCGGAGGCGGTTTCCCGTGGCGGCGAGAGACGCGGCGGCGGCGGCTCCCAGCGCTGGCGCCGGGATGCCGGAGATCCGGACCCTGGAGGGCTTCCCGCTGGGGCGGGTTGCGAGGGCCTGGAGGAGTGCCGCCCACTGGACTCCCTGCATGATCCCGAAGTCTACAATGTGGATCCGCGCCGCCGATTCGGTGGCCTCGAGGATCGCCTGGTTCGCGGTGAGGTGGGCGAACTTGGAGTAGGGGCACGCATCGTTGAGGGCCTTGTAGCAGAGGGTGAAGTCCTCCGGCGACGAATCGAAGGACGAGGAGGAGCACGACGGCGGGGCTGCCGCGGTGGAGGGATACGAGTGGTGCTTCCTCTGAGCTCCATGGAGGCGACGGTAGAGAGCTTCGGCGAAGTAAAAGGCGACGCGTTCCGTCGGATCGCCCGACTCCGAAGCGGACTCTCTGACATGGATCAGGGATTTGGCGGCGAGATCGGGGTCGGAATCGGCGATCCGCGCGCAGTCGAGAAGGGATTCCAAGAGAGGCTGCGACGAGACGCTGCTCTCCGGCGCCTGATCTCGCACTACGGCGGCTCCGCCGGAGTTCTTGTTTAGTTCCGGCGGATCGAAGGACGGGGCGTGGGCCGTCGGTCCAGGCCGATTTAGGGCAACAACGGCGGCGGCCTGGTGAAGGTGCTGGACCGGTGCAAGAGGAGCGATCTCGCAGTGCTCGGAGAAGAGGACGTGGTTGAGGTCCGACGCGGATGCGGGGGGAGAAGGTGGGCTGAAATCGGTGGAGCAGGAGGGGAAGGCGTCGGCGAAGAGGGCTCCTGAACCGCCGGCTGCGCCCTGCCAAGGGTCACCCATGAGGTCAGAGCTCTCGGCGGGGGAATCACCGATGAGGCTCTCCATCCACTCGTCGGAGTCGAACTCGGCGGCCACAGCAGAGGCGGAGGAGCCGAAGTCGGAAAGGCGGAAGGGGCCATGGTCGAGGTGGCCGCCACCAGGGGGCGCGGCGAAGCCGGCGACGGGATCGGGGGCGAAGGGATCGGCGAAGGTGGTAGCCGGGTCGGGGATGACGAAGGGGAAGTGGTCGGTCATGTGCTGCTGGGGCTGGTGCGAGGAGCCCCACGGTGGGGGGTTCGTGGAGAAGGGATTGACGGAGGCAGCCACCAGCTGCTGCTGTTGCTGCTGCTGCTGCTGCTGCTGCTGGCGCTGCTGTTGCTGCTGCTTCTGCTGGATGACCTGCTGCGCGATGGCCATTAGATTCCCGCTGTCCGCGCACATATACGCCATGATCCTCTTCGACTCCCCCACGTCAAGCAACCGATACTACCCCCTCCTCCGATGTGCGAGCTCTGGACTCTTCGGTGGGTAGATGCTTTCTCTGGAGCCAGGAGAGCTACCACCGAAGAGTCCAAGACGGATAGAAATGTAGAGGTGGAGGAGTTTTGATGTCAGGCTATTCTGAGTCGACAGGGAGTGGTGTGCGCAGCAGCGAGAGGGAGAAGTGAAGGTTTTGAGCGTTGTTGGACCGGTGGCCTTTATAAAAAGGGTGGTTTTCCTTGGGTGACTGACCGAGGGCGATGGAAGGCGAGAGGGAAGAGAGAACGGGAGGGGGGCGAATGCTAAGGCCCAGGGCCGGCAGAGGCGGGGCCCACGCTGGCCCACCATGCCGAGGTTTGGAAGTCGCTGAGTCCTATCGTGGCACGAAAAGTGTGGGTGAGAACCCTGTTTCCTGCTTGACCTGGGCGTGGTCCACCATTTCGGGAGCTGGGGGCAGGTGCATGGTTACTTGCGCCATGCATGACGTGTCGCCTTCTCGCCGTGCTCCCCCACGGTCCCAGTGACGCGACACCACCCGATTCGATCTGCCACGTGGGCTTCACCTCTTACGAGGCGGGACCCTACGGACGCCTTGAACTCGACCAGACAGACAACTCCAACTATCGCCAAACGAAATCATCCACGTCAGCTAATGTCAGTGACTAGGAAACTGAAAACTGCGGGTGGGTGCTCCAACGCACACACCACATCAACCCAGCCGCGGGGCCCGCGCTGCTGCTGCCGCCGCAGCTCCGTGCCTCGTGTGGGAACGGCTCCCCCCACCGCCCACAACCAAAAAACCCCACGGTCTACAACGATGACGTCACCGCCACAGGTGAAAGCCGTCGGATACTTTGGTGGGCGGGCCCCGCGACGGCATTCTTTTCTGAGGTTTCGATTAATGATTATTTTTCCCACCCCCCATTTTTTCCCTCCACCCATTCATTCACCGTCGTCACGACTCGACCCACGAATCCTCGTCTTCGCTCCCAACGGTGCAAATATATGCGTCCCAATTAATGGCCCGCGCCTCCGTCCCCTCCGAGTCGCGGTCAAAAAGAGACGCCAAAGCCAGCAGACCGAGCAGCGGGACCGCGTCCGCGTTGCGAGAATCAAATCCCACCGTTGGCTCGTGGCGTCGCACGAAAGCTGATGCACGCGCAGCCTTATCTGCGCTCCGCCTCCGACCGACATGGCCCAACGAAAGCGACGGTTGAGGGCAAACTTGGCACGGAAGGCAACCGAGTCGACTCGGCAAACCTGAGCGATTGATGGCGCTGCTGGAAGACAACCGCATAGTGGAGAGGCGGGTCTAATACCGCGGGAAGTTGTCGTCGCTTAGCTACCACGAAGTTGACAAGCGCGGTACTTGTCGCAAGCTTTCGCTTCAGCTTATGGTGTCGCTTTCCCTCCCAAACCAAAGCAAGCACGCCTTCTCACTCTCTCTTCAATTATTTGCAGACCGGGAAGAAGAGAAGGGAGTGTGGACCGAAGTCGATCACGCATTCGGGCAGATTAAAGACGCACGGCAAGTGTTCGATCGATGTTCCGTGAGAGGCATGCGATAATAATGCTGACCGGCTTGGCTGCATGAATTGGATCGTGTGATCAGCATCCAAAGCAACAAATGAACTTACAGACATCTCCACCACTGTTTACGGACTTGCGACGGTTCTTTGCTCATCATGTTATTATCGTTGTTATGATCATGAGTTGGATCATTGCTAGTCCTTTCGACAGCATGCATGATTGATAGCCACACGGTCACGAATCCGAAGCTGTGGAGAAGAATAGAGTGGAAGAGAACAAGTGAAAGCAACACCCACCGGCCTCCTCAAGCCTCAGACTCCGAGTTAATTGTGGGCGGAGGGAGCCATAGTTATTATTACAGGTGACGAAAAGGGCTTGCAAGCAGCGTTAATGGCTGCTGTTGTGAATCATAACATCACTAAAAAGGAGGTTTGATGGGATGAGCGTCGGTGATGATTAGATAATGCTAACATTACAGTTCAAGTTTGCATTGCATGCCCAATAATTCTACTGGAACGCTCTTTTAATTGTTGAGGATGTTCGGTGGTTAACCTACACGAAGATTGAGGTCGATATTATCCTTTTGACGTTCTACTAGTCCGTTTTCCTCCTCTTACTAACAAGACTTGTCGATTGTGTTATGTTTGATTAAAATCTTTGAAAAGATCTATTTTCTAAGATAAATAGAATAGAATGATGTGTATCAACAATCACAATAAGGTCTAAGGTATAGATTTATGTTCCTTTTAGTTTAGTACATGTGAATTATCGCGCAAAATGCCTCCAAAGCAACATTATTAATAGTTGACTCAGTTTATTTTATGATTCAATAAAATATTTGATTTTAAATTATCGTATCGGCCCAATCAAACCCCTCATTATATAAATTCTAAAATGACAATTCGATAATTACGTCAAACCTTATCGACTCAATACATCGGACAAACTACTCTTCCTTCGGACATCAACGTGCCAACGTTATCGACATAAGCCTCCGATAACCTAACTTTGTAGGGGGGTTCGACGCATATGTCGTCGATTGATGATTCTACGTGATCGTATGCAGATGAACTCTCAACTTAGCTTCGACGATTACCTAAACTAATTATAAGAATACCTCCGTAAAGCAGCAACTTTGAGTTCATCGTACCTTTGGAATCTTCCGACGCCACTGATTTGATCATCGAAAGGCCTTCTCCATTACATGCAAATTTTTAATTCATAGTAATTTCGCAACCTTCCCGACAGAGCACGCATTCTTTCTTTTCCAATGCCTGCAAAGCGATCTGATTGATCTCTTCCTTCTTCCCCTTCTTCTTTCTAGGTTTCCACCTCGGGATGGAGAAGTGGCGTCGTCTCCTCCTCGTACTTGTGCTCTTCCTCGCCTTCTTCTCCGCAAGTAAGTGCAGCGCCGGTTAATGCTTTCACTTGTGGTACTTTACTAACTAAAGTCTTTGCAGGGTCGCAGTCCTTCATCGGGGTCAACTATGGGCAGGTGGCGGACAACCTCCCGCCGCCATCTGCCACCGCAAGCCTCCTGCAATCGACCACCATCTCCAAGCTCCGCCTCTACGGCGCCGACCCTGCCATCATCCGATCCCTATCCGGCACCAACATCTCCCTCGTCCTCGGTGTCCCCAACGCCGACATCCCCTCCCTCGCCTCCGATCCATCCGCCGCTGCCAGCTGGGCCGCCGCTAATGTCCTCCCTTACGTCCCCGCCACCTCCATCTCCCTCGTCGCCGTCGGCAATGAGGCACTCGACTCCGGCGACGCCGCCCTCGCGTCCCAGCTCCTCCCCGCCATGCGGAACCTCGGCTCCGCGGTCGCCGCCTCCGGCGTCAAGGTCTCCACCGTCCACACCATGACGGTGCTCGCCCATTCGGAGCCCCCGTCCTCGGGCGCCTTCCGCCCGGAACTCTCCGCCGACCTCACCGGGATTCTCGGGTTCCTGCGCGACACCGGGTCGCCCTTCATGATCAACCCCTACCCCTTCTTCGCCTACCGCAGCGACCCGCGGCCGGAGACGCTGGCTTTCTGTCTCTTCCAGCCCAACCCGGGCCGGTTCGACGCCGGGTCGAAGCTCATGTACACCAACATGTTCGACGCGCAGGTGGACGCTGTGCGGTCGGCGCTCGACGGGCTGGGGTTCCCGGGGGTGGAGATCGTGGTGGCGGAGACGGGGTGGCCCTACCGGGGGGACCCGGACGAGGTGGGGACGACGGTGGAAAACGCCAGGGCATTCACCGGGAACCTGGTGGCCCACCTGCGGTCCCTGGTGGGGACGCCGCTCATGCCCGGGCGGTCCGTGGACACCTACATCTTCGCGCTCTACGACGAGGACCTCAAGCCCGGCCCCGCCTCCGAGCGCTTCTTCGGCCTCTACCGAGCCGACCAGACCATGAACTACGACGCCGGCCTCGTCAAGTCCGCCTCGAGCTCCTACACGAGTCCGTCGCCGCCTGCAGCGACGACGGGGTCGACACCGCCTGCAGCGACGACGGGGAGGTGCGTACCGGGGGCGACACCGCATACGAGTGCAGACGGCGGCCCAACCCAGCCCGAGGAGCAGTGCCACAGCCCCGACGCCGTCGGATCGCGTGCAGCCGTCGGGGCGGACCGCCTCTTCTTCTTGTCCGTGGCGCTGACACTGCTGCTATAGTGCGAACCATCAATAACGGGAGGAACAATAAGAAGGCAGTTTGTTTGGAGTGTTCAACGTTTGGAATCTATAATTCAAGATAAATAAGAGATATTTAAGCTTCATTCAACACATTCCATTGTCGTCTAGTCCGGTTAGGATACCTGGCTTTCACCCAGGCGACCCGGGTTCAAATCCCGGCAATGGAATCGCTGTTGTTTTTGCTTTGTGGCTAATAAATTTAGCTAAATAAGAGAAGTGTTATTCGAGTGGGAAATAAGAGAAGTGTTTTCTTTCTTTTTCATGCAATGCAGTCAGATTACATTAAGTTTTGATTCACTGATTCATGAATCTTAAGTATATGATTGTGTGATCATATCTTCTTAATTAAAGACTGAAAAAAGGACAGATGAGATATGATTGAGTGATCACAATTTCCAAAAGCTTAACCTGTTAAGAAAGAGGTGTCATTAGTTGGAACACAGATGACAACCAAACCTGTTTTCTCTCCTTCAGAATACCACATTTGATTCATCCAGCATAAGATATCAAAGGATTTATATGGAAGAATAATCACAATCAAACAGCTAGGCTTCAGTTGCCATTGACCAAATTTACAAGCACCAAAGTTGACTGACGAACTCACAAGTCAACATGCATCGAAGATACCATCAGATGTAGCTAAGAAGATTGGAGACACAGGTTTTCGAAACCCATATGCTCTTTCCTCGCAAGCTTCCCCACTACATCTTCCATGCCAAGTCCACCTGCGGTGGGAATATGTTACCATATTGTTTCATAAACCTCGCTAGGATATAATTAATTCCACCGTCATTACCTATGCCGATCGCACTGACAAGGATGGTCAATGCCAGAATGAAGATGATTAGTGATGCTCGGCCTATCAGAATGATCATCTTCCTCACCATGTGCTGACCGGCGACGGCAGCAAGTGTTGCAACACACAACAGGTATGCAGCTGCAGCATCACGGTCGGTTAGATTGTTCGCCGATGAATAAATAGAGGTGCCGTGATTGTTACTACTTACAGTATGGAACAGGAAAGCGATCGAGTAGGTAGTACTGTACGACGGATATGGAAGAAGAAAATGCCATCACAAAGTTTGATGTTGCGCTGGCAACCTGCACAGGAGCATGATATTAGCAGAAGACGAGCGTGTAACCTACTGCAGGAGAATAAATTCTTGTATTTTTCTTCTAGAAATTGGTTTAAAGTCAGAAAAGATTTCAGATTACAGTGACATCTTTAAGAAATTGAGATCCTCGATGACGCAGACTGATAGATAAGATTCTCCAAGATCAAGTCACTACATCAACTAATATGAAGAATATTATGATCGGAAATTGTTCAAATTCGTTCGCTCTTTTAAACATTTGTGGAGCTATATACTTAATGTCATATACTCATATCATGTTTTCTCTTATAGGCGCAGGTAAACTGTTGGCCAATAAATGTTCCCCTAATTATGTCTCATGACATTATCGAGATGTATTTCACTAACTATATAATGAAACATGTGAAACTTGTCATCAACCCTACATAGCTTAGGGGAAGGAGCAAAACCTGTGGAGGAACCCCCAGTTCAATAAATAAGGGTCCTAAAATGAATCCTCCTCCGAGCCCAAGAAGACCTCCAACTACCCCAGCTATAACTCCACAGCAACAGTAGAAGACAAGCTGGTGCGGTCTCCAGTTCATTTCCTGTTTACCTGTAGAGGCAATTGTCCTCTTCCCTCTGTAAAGACAGACAGCTTCATAAAGTTTCTCAAGTTAATGTCCAGCTTACCAGTAGAGGCAATTGTCCTCTTCCCTCTGTAAAGACAGATAGCTTCATAAAGTGTTAAGGCAGCAGCAATTGGCACCTTCACGAAACAATATTTCAGCCTCAGCACCTTAAGTAGATGAATCTTTCAAAGCGGTAGAAGATATTGCTATGGTAAAATTATGTTGTTGAACTCCGAGAGAATGTTTTAGCTTGAAGCTCTCAGCATTCTACAACTTACATGTTAGTTGGAAATTGAGAAGAAATACAAACATCTGAAGACATTTAAGAAAAGGACTAATTGTCATAGGCTCCAGTAAAGCCTACACCAGTTTCCAGTGGCTTATATTTCAGATGTGGCATTAGGTTCTTTTTTCGTTATGGATTTTTTTTTTTCAGTGTGAAAATGCAGCAATAACATCAAAACCTTTCTTCTCATTCTTGCAACTTGTCAGAATAATTGCATGACATGACCAACAATGCATTGGTTGACTTCATCAATCATGAAGTTCTTTGATGGAAACTATAACATGAAGTTTATGTGTGTCTACCAACGAAAGGAAGCAAGTGATTCTAGCTTTACTTCAGATATGAAACGCTGACTAGCACTCATTGAAACTAGCATACATTAGGTGGAGTGCTTTACCTGCATGAAATTGAATATCCAATATTCTGGAGAGCATATTACAGCATGAGTCTGTATAGAAATACAAAGAAGCTCATGATTAGTCAAAAAGAGGGAGGAGGGAAGAAAAAATAAGGCATGCGAGTATAGGAGAGCAAAAAGTAGAGTTGTATGTATTCCAAAGCTCTCACCTTAATTATTTGGATGACAAGAAATCCAACCCAAACAATCAAAAGCAACATAAGTTCTTTCACGTATATATTTTCCTTGATAGGTACCTGTAAGGAAGTTCAGACAGTTAAGATGACAATGATGGCTTCGCTAATGCTGATGCTATAGAAAAGGATTCTTGATTACTTAATCTATTACATACAATGGTTAAAACTGCCCCACTTGCTGAAGACTTGGGCTGTTCGTTTGCGAGGGGTCCCTCTGGGAGCGGCGCATATTCCAGTTCTGGTCCATCTGACAGTGCAAAGGAAATCTGATCGATTCACTTGTATTGAGCATTGCACTGAGTGCACATGACTTATCGAATAACTGGTTCCCCAAGGTTCTTGGAGCCAGTTATGCCTTTGGTGTCAAAACGAGGCATATATTCCTCAAATTGAATCTGGCATTTTGAAAGTGCATCCTACTCACCTTTCAGGTTCGTTGATGAGTCCAAATGCCTTGCTGCATCCTAAAGTAAAGGATTTCCAGTAGCTATCTCAATGAAGGTGCATACTATCAAAAATTTCAGAAGTAAAAAGGTAATCATGGGACAATTACCTTCAGAAGCACAGTTTCCTTTTTCCAGGTCTCTAGACCCTTTAGAAATGCCTTGGTTGATGTACCTCCGAGTAGCAAACCATTTTTAGTTAGTATATGTTGGAGCTGAAAGCCATTGTTTCACGAGATTTATGTTGAGCAGAAAATAAGCTTTATGGAGTTTAAGAGGACATATAAAGTTGATGCATTTGTGTTAGGAAGCAACTTCTCGTGACCGAAACTAAGGTAAGATGAAGAAACTTTTGGTTTTCCCTTACGAGATGTTAAATGACTGGAAACATAAGGTAGCGAGAATTTGGTTGTGGCTGCAATCTTTGTGAATGCACTTCTAAGGAATTATTTTCAATAAAATAAGATTCAGATTAGAAGGTACCAAAGTACGTGAGACCGCTCAGCAGCTAAGCAAATTTCAGGCAAGAAAGACATAAGAATTTAGAATGCGTAGGTGCTTATTTCCTGACACTTGATAAATTGGGAAAGGCAAAAAAAAATCATTTAACCATACATGCAAAACAAGAACAATTATCTAAAAGCAGAAATGCCCTCGAGTCGAATTCAGTGACTATGGGAATGAAATAAGCTAGAAGAGTCGATTTTACCTAGGAATAGGATGACGAGGATGGCGGTGATCATCCATTCTGCAAAGATGACATTGAAGGCAACCCCAATGCTAATGCCCAACATGAGCATGGGTTGGAATAACAGTGCAAGGTCATAATCCATGATCGGCAAGTCTAATGTAGGATGTCGAAACCTTAGATTGTAGTAAACCGCAGATCCTGCAGCCCCCATGATCATGCCTACAAAAGATGTGAGAAGACATCATTGCATTGTCTGTGGCAACGAATCCGATCAACCAATTCTTAGTGGAAACAGCTGCCTAAAGACAATTTGGTGCTTTTTAGCTCAACATTAATTAGCACCGGAAACAAAAAGGGCAAGTGTGAATGGCTGAAAGGAGAACAGGAACACCAAAATTTCTGCTGTCGCTTACACTTGGAGATGGCCGCAGAAGTCTTCAAGTCGAACCCGATGATCAAAACGAGCATGGGCACAAAGATGCCACCCCCACCCACACCCCCAATGCTGCCGAGAGCAGACCCCACAAACGCAATCGCGGATCCGAGCACAACCCTCCACCCGAGCTCCAGATCCTGTGAGTTCCAATCCCAACAGCAAATTCTATTGCACGGCTACGAGAAGACGGAGCAGAAGAGAAGAAGATTCCGTGGGGGCAAAAGGGGGGGAAAGGTGTCGTACTGGCCAATTATGAGCGCGGGATCCATTGCCGAAGAGAGAACGGGCAAGATTGCGAAGGGGAAGCGTGTCATCTTCCACGTCTCTCCCGCGGAAGCTGCCGCCGCTTGCTGCCTGAACAAGGGAGGACCTAAGAGGCCTTTCCGCTAAGGCCGACCGACTTCCGAAGACGAAGCCGGAGCAGAGGAGGAGAACCACGGCCAGCCACCGCCTGCGCTCCGGGCTTGGAGCCATGGCGCCTCTGCGTCGGTAATGGAAGAAGGGAACGCTATCCCGACTCGTCGCGAGTCAAAGGTGAGATGGTTGGGGATGACTCTTCGGTGCGCCTCAAACGTATGATGAAATGCTCGCATGTGTATTATAATGGCGTTACGGCCTTCCTGTCGAGTGGAAATTACCTGTTGCGGGACACGCTCGTGGCCGCCGCGTGGGATGGAAAGGAAGCGACTTCTTATTGCCACGTGGGATGCACAATAATTGTAGGTATTTAATAAATATTTTTGGATTTTCGAAATAGATTAATTAAATATTAAAAATGTATTATATTTTCACAAAAATATTTTTATACAATTTAATATGACGTATAACAAAAATAAAAATTACCAAAAAAATGACTAATATTATTAGTATATTATTATTATGGTTTCAATTAATTAATATTGAGTTAAATATGACTTATGTTTAACTCATAAAACATGACTAATATGTTCGATGTGAAAGAGATACGAATGCGTGGAAGAGGATAAGCACGATGACAGGGTTCGGAAGCCCAATCATACTCATCAATTATTGTAGATGAGATTGTGTGATGAGTTCCATCTCATCTCATCTTATCTCATAAAAAATGGAGCTTTGATTATTTGAGATCCTATAAATGAAATGATTATTTTAATGTACATTCATGACACTTGTTAGTGTAAACAACTTTATGTCGTGGCCTCGGGGCCGACGCGGCTTGGTTGGGGGTCTGAATAACGGGGATCTCGCGCAGCGTCCCTCGAGATCTCTCAGTGGTCGATTACGGCGGTCCGGTCGGGATGTCGTGTCGGGAGGGAAGCTTTCACCGCGGCACCGGGAAGAGGCGATGTCGTTCTCGCACCTGCACATAGGTCGAGTCGGAAGCTCGGCCCGACCCATCCGACGATCAAGTCAGTGGATGCGAAGGGAATTTGTTGTATCAAGAGGTCCCCCCATTCATTTAGAACTTTAGGGTATTTATAGGTAAGTTTAGTGTTACATGATGTACCTGCCTGCAGGAGCAGGACCATACCTTTGATGGCATCTGACATTGCCGTTGGCATTGCGTGGAGAACCGAGCTACCGCAGGGTATGGGATAGCATCGGTCGTCGTCCTCCTCTGCCTCGGCCAAGCGCGCGGGGTCAGGCAACGATGAAGTCGTTATATGAGAGCGGGTGACGTCAGCGCACATCGCGTCGGCATCATTGCCCTCCTCCTCGGGCATAGTGTCGCCCAGGCGTGGCTAACGTCGTGGCACGTCATGTTGCCATTATTACCCTCATCAACACTTGTTCTTATGTGTGGGTGGGTGTTGTTAGACCACTAATCCCAACAATTTAGGCGGAATTAAATTTAATGACGTAAATTCTCCGAAAAGATCAAATGTGATATTAATTTAGATTCTCAACTAATAATATATAGATAGAGATGATAATATGTGGATAACTATTGACACATTACTCTCATCGGACGTATATCAATCATGTCGACACGTTATCTTCACTTGATTGATGTGCTCACTAACCACTCCAAAGGCATGATGGCTTATTCTTAATATACTATCCAAACGATGGGTTTCATTCGTTTCATCCGTTCATCCAATTCCACCGTCAATGCATCGCAAATTATTGAGTTCGGTGTGGGTCCAATAGAATGAGATCTCCGACAAAGAAAGATAGCATGACAATGTGTTTTCATTCGGGATAATCATATATTAAGTTTAATTTAATATATATATATATATATAATATATAATTTTTAAAAAATAATTAGAGACTAATTATATTAATTGAAATGATTACTTGCTATGATAATAAAAATATTGTATGTATGTCAGTGATGTATGGACCAATCTAACTCGATTCATGTCTATGTGACCCAAGAGATGCAAGTAAAATGTTGATTCAAACTTTGGTTTTGTCGTTGACTTGCACAAAGATCAAAGTCGAGTGGAGTTGTCGATGTGATTCCTCCGGTTCTCACTCGAGTGAGTAATAGATAGGTGTAGAGTAATTTTAGCAAATAGTAATTGGTATCGATCATCATGTCTAAGATTAATCTTTTATAACAAGTTAATCGATAAAGTATTCTACGATATGAATATAATGTTTTCCTACCTATTATTTTTGGAATATTTCTCGTATTGTTAGTTTGAAAGGATGCTCTCTCATCGCATCGCTGACCATATTATCGAACCTATATTGGAATGAATATTTTTATGATCATGATAGATATCTTCGGTATGATATTATAGTTTTTAATTAGACACTAAATTATATTAATTAAAATGATTACCTGCTATGATAATAAAAATTTTGTTTAGATATTATTGATGCACGGATCAATCTAACTCGGTTCAAGCTGGTGCGCGTAAGAAATCTTATGTGACCAAAGAGATATAAGTAAAATGCTTGTTTAAGATTTGACGTGGATTCAGACTTTGGTTATGTGGTTGACTTGCACAAAGATCAAAGTCGAGTGGAGTTTTCGACGTGATTCCTCCAGCACTCGAGTATAAGTGTAGAGTAATTGACATTGATCCGAACATAACGTTTTCCTATATATCATTTTTGAAATAATTCTCGTATTGCTAATTCTAGTTTGAAAGGATGCTCTCTCATCGTATCGTTAACGATATTATCGAACCTATATTGGAAAGAATATTTTTTTGATCATGATAGATATCTTTGGTATGATATTATAGTTTTTAATTAGACACTAAATTATATTAATTGAAATGATTACTTGATAATAAAAATTTTGTATAGATATTAGTGATGTATGGATCAATCTAACTTGGTTCAAGCTGGTGCGTATAAAAGAAGTCTTATGTGGACCAAAGAGATACATGTAAAATACTTGTTCCGATGCGGATTCAGACTTTGGTTCCGTAGTTGACTTGCACATCATCATGCCACTTTTACACGCACATCATCCTTCCGTGACGATCGACTATCACCCCCTCAATGGGTCTTCTGATGCGTTCCACCGACGGAGGTGAGGCTGTGCTTAGATCGCTAGCCGCAATTATTGGGTCGGTGATGTTGGTGGTGATGCTAACCGATATTGATGGCCGACAAGGCAACGCAGTCATCGGAAACGCTGAATCACCTAACTTTCCAATTCGAGTACATGTTTTCACTGTTTGGCTCATTAATTCGGCTATGGTGGCTATCCGTCGTGTCATGACAGCAGTGCAATCTTACATTCGCGACATCAGCAACCACGTGTGATGCACACAGTCTCGGTCAATAATACTTCTGAGGTTGACTTTGATAAGCACGTTTTGAGCTAATCACGTATTATCTATCCTCTATCCTCTATAATTAGCTATTTATAATATTTTGATTCATACACTTTAGAAAATAAAATTGATATCTTAATAATTACGAAATTGATTCATACCCTGACACTATCGATTTTATCAATAGAAACACGAAAATAAAAAATAAAAATATAATTTTAACATCCTAGTTCGTGGTGACGAACGACCTAGGTGATGATAGTCATCGGCGCCATTAGAAGTCACGGGTGACTGTTGTGGATGAGGAAAGCGACAAACGAAACGTGAGCATCGCTCTGCATCTAAATCGACGTTGACTCAATTGTCGATCGATAAAAGGATCGATTGACATATGCATCAATGCTGCTATAGATGTAGAGCGACACCGCTTGACAACTGTGTCAATGCCGACGTAGATGTAGAGTGACACCACTTGGCAACTACGTCAACGCCAACGTAGATGTAGAGTGACACCACTTGGCAACTACGTCAACGCCAACGTAGATGTAGGGCGACACCACTTGGCAACTACATCGGCATCAACATAGTTGCTAAGTGGTGCTGCTCGACATTTACATCGACAATTCTTTCACCGCTCAACAACTACATTAGTGTCAACGCAGATACAAAGCAACTCTTATCTCTTGACGTCACTCTCTTCATCCACAACAGTCATCCTATTGTGGATGACAGACGACGCTATCAATTTGTCCATTTATTCATAAAGTGAAACATCTAAGCTCATTTATCCTAACGTTATCAATTTTACCAACAGAAACATAAAAACAAAGGATAAAAAGATAATTTTAATATTTTAGTTAATGGTGACGGACGATGTCGCTGATGATAGACGACGACACCATTAGGAGCCACGAGTGACCGAGGGATGAGAAGAACGATGACAAAAAGTAAACGCCGCTCGATCGGCATTAGCGCAGTTGCCGATTGATAAAAGGATCGCTTGATATTTACATTAATATCACTATAGATATAGAGCGACACCGCTCAACAACTATGTCAACGCCAATGTAGATGTAGAGTGACACCGCTTGGCAACTACGTCGGCATCAACATAGTTGCTAAGTGATGCCGCTCGACATTTACATCGACGATTCTTTCACCACTCGACAATTATATTACCATCGACGAAGATGCAAAACAGCTCTTATCTCTCAACACCACTCTCCTCCACAACAACCATCTATGACCTTAGCAACACAAC